TACTCATTTATAACAATAGAAATTATGGCATATTACTCACAGTAGTATAATATGTAAAGTAACAAATGTCAGTAAAAATTCCATTTACTATAGTAACCCTTTGATTTGGACTCAATCAATTGTATGAAAGTATACCCTGTGCGAATTTTCTGGTATATTTAAAAATGAACCATTTCAAGTTTCATTACATTACATGTTATCAAATATACATCAGTCCTAATTGTGCTTGTTCAGTATATTCTTTTTCTTTACATTTCATAGTGTTGTAAAGGATATATATATATATATATATATATATATATATATATATATATATATATGTACATGGAAACATTTTACAGTAACAAAGACTATAAAACTGAACACAAGTAAACAGTGTTAAGTAAATGATAGAAACTGTAATGAAATTAAAATGTAAATATGAAACTATAACTGATTTTTGATTAAAATTTGGAAAGTGTATGTGAAATACCAAACTGAATATCATTTATGAATATTTTTTTCTCTCATGTTTTGTTGTTCTATTTAAGAACAAAGAAACTTAATTGTTATTTAAATCACTCAAATAAATGTTGATTTATATCTAAGATATATGTACACAAAATTATATGTATTAATAACGAATCAGAAGTTAGTTTACTATCATTTGACCTTGAGGACTAAAATCTATTGATTTCCAATAAAATTCTCAATCACATACGTGCTATTTATAATTATGGAAAGAGAATATTCTTCAATGTATTGTGATATACTATTGTCGATTAATTAAGTTTTGGTAATAAATCTTAATTAAAATTGTTAGTGTGGAATTTTTTATATTCACCCGTGGTAACAGATAAAATGGAGAACAGTTTAATTAAATAATTGTATTTGTGATACTGTTGTACTAGTATAGTGTTACATTTCAAAAGCGGCTTCTGTTAATGTATATCTAGCCGAATATTTTCATGGTTTTTTAAATTTGGATATAGTCAATTAAGCTACCTAATAAATGTAATAGTAATTGTAGTAAAATGTCATTTCCGATCTGGACAATTCTCGGGTACTAATAAAAGATTAATGTATCCACTTCATTTAAATACGTGATTATATAAATTCATAACATGATGAGTATATAGCATTATTCGCCATAAATAAAGGACATATGAACTCATTTGAACGTTATACTTAGCTTAAAAACTTCATATATGACTGTTTATTTCCCTATAATTAAGGTTAATACTAGCAACTCTTAAAAAACTAGATGAATTTAGAAACAGAATTGCTCAAAAACTAACTAGTTGGATTCTATTTAAAATAAAAATATTTTGTAGGGTATTATCAATAGTTAGCAAAAATTAAAAAGAAATGAAGCATTTTATGTTGATCAAGTTAAAAAACCCATATATCAATTTTTACTACTTTATTTGTTATTTCAGTAGCATAAATATTATACTGCAACTTAAAATGAATAGTTAGATGTATAACATTAGAATAATATTTTTCCTCGTTATCGATAGTATTTGAAGAGTGCGATTCCCCATAATGTCGATTATTTTTTAGAAATTTCTAATTCTGTTTATTTACTTTATATATTTAAGTGTTGAACGAGAGGTTATAGGCTTAAAAATAATTCTTAGTCACAATTGATTGGTCACTGGGTGGTGATCAATGTCATGTGTGTCAAGTACTTATTTAGTGCAGATCGAATGCTATCGACCATGTTGCAATATGGCCACCAGTCTAGGTGACCTGACACTGCGTGCACTGTATATTGAGATTAGATAGTGGTTGGAGGTACTCAGCAGGAAACCCTGGGCCCGGGTTTCGTGCTACTTGGCACTCGTCACCAAGGTGTACCTGTAATCTTGAGGGAACTGGTGCTCCCTGGGGGATTCGATCACCTGTCACCCAGCTTTACAATGTGGCCACCAGTCTAGGTGACTCGACGCTTTTTGTCATTATATTCATTACAATTAATAAATAATCTTAGTTTGTTAAATACATTTTAAGGACAAAATTTTGCAATTTTTTCTTTCATCTATTTTCATTCATTAAAGATCTGCGCACCTCATGAATCATAAGCAATGATATTATCAAACGTTAATTGATATGAAAAAATAAGGTCAATATATTATTTTTACAGTGATGTTTATCATAGAATTATTCACGCCTTATAGAATAATTTAATTGGCAATATGAAATAGAGTAGCAAACATTTAAGATGTAATTCTAGAATTTTCAGCATTCATTTGTTATACAATAGTTACCTGCATAGTGTGATACCATGAATTTATACCATATCTCATTTAAAATGAAAGAGTGAATGGGGAGACTATAATTTATGGACGACCTTTAAATAATAGTAAAGTGATGTTGAGAAACTCCAATTACTTACTAGAGTCGAAATAGGGCTATAAATTGGCATGTAGAATTAGGACTGGTAGCTAAAGTTAGAAGTTAGGTTTAAGTTTTAGAATTAGGGTTCTAATCATGAACTGACATCGACTATAATGAGAAAATGTTCTTTAGTTATAGAGGTGAATTAATTTCGCACCAAAATTCAAGATTCCCAGTCTTAGCTCTGAGTGATTCATACATAATTTATAGTCTCACAGAATGAACTATTAAGTTATAAAGTATATTTTATCTGAGTTCAAGTAAGTTTTGATCTTATTCTATTTCATTTAACAGTACTAAAACGATTACTATCACGTTGCTTAGTTTCAAACGTTTCTTATTACATTACTTAATAATAATCATATTTACAAAATCATACTGTTTGTTTCTGTGTTAATGATCAATCACTGAAATTAAGTTTGTTATAAATTGGATACATTTTACTGATTTCATGTTATACAACTGTAAAATCAGTTGAATTAAAAGAAATCACAAAATCCTTTATTGCAGCATAGTTGTATTTATACACATTCTCCGGTCACGATTATTACTATGAATAAGGTTTAAGAAACTAAGCAGTACTTACAAGGGAAGTTTATTCAAACACTTTTTTAACCATTTCAAACAATGATTGTTCATAATATTTGGGATTGATTGAAACATTAATTGTAAAATTATTTTCTGAGAAAAATGTTTTACGTATGCAGATAAATATCTATCGCATTAAGATGGTGGAGTTTGTGCTGATAATGTTGTTCAGAAGAAAGATGAAAGCTCCACAACTAAACCACTCAGTTGAGAGAATAAAACTCCATTAAAATCTATTGCCTTTCATATTCTTAATTAATTGGGTATTTTCTCTTATTAATAAAACTACAAAAAACATGCATATACACCATGCTTACTGTTTCCCTTTGACAACAGCAAAAAAACTCGATACGATGAAACATCAGCTGTTACATATATTTAGTGAACAGGAAGAGTGAAGTTATATTTAACAATCAGTAGACTTTATTGTGATCATGTAACCAAGATAAAAGTAAGGTAATTAAAAAAACACCTGACAATCATTCGTGTGTTTTCACGTAGACATAAGTTTTAGCATTCATTAGTTGTATGTATCCACTTATAGATTTAAAGAGGATTCATAAAAAACATAATGAAAAATCCCTACGTAACAATGTCTCAGGATTCTTCAATAATTATAAGGATTTTCATTACTTTTCTTTTGATATTCAAGATTAAATTGATCAGTGATTGTTAATAAATAGTTTCTGACTTGTAAAGTGAATGAACTATGCTTCTTCTCACAAATCAGAATATACTTAAACTTCGTTGATTGGTTGAGGTTAGACATTAACACCATTGGATGCCGGCTCAGTCGTACAGTAGGTTAAGTGGTCGCACGCGAGACTGAAGGCCCTGGGTTCGAACCATGGGAGCGGGATCGTGGATGCGCACTGCTGAGGGTCCCATAATAGGACAAAACGGCCGTCCAGTGCTTCCAGGTTTTCAATGGTGGTCTAACATCAATCGATTCATGATCTCAATCATAAACTGTGTATATTTTACTTCAGATAAATATATTAGTGTTTTGATGCAAGCCTTATTATTTATAGAATAATCTACTTTTAAGTAATCTTTACAGAAGGCCTACTCGGATTTTAATCGATTTCTTTGTTAGAAATGTACTGTGACAAGTTTACATTTCCTAATCTTATACTGTGGTAATCAGTTTCAATGATATATTAGAATAGTCTCTGGATAGAGTGGTGAGTATTATTTCTGACTTTTGAAGAAATTATATATCTATTCAGGACTGATGAGTATGATTAACAAGGAAGGTAAATTAAAAATTTTGATTACCTCCCTTTTAATTACTGTTATTATTACTACTATTTTCAGCTATTACTATGACTAATATTATTGTTTTTCTAATATTTCATTGTTTTACATCACGGACTTCTCCTAGTTAGGCAGTCACAGAAAACCAAGAAATATTAGATACCTATTGTGTGATAGTAGTGTATTTTTCAACAGTACACATATGCGATGGTTATTTAACATAGATAAGTCCGTAATGTAAGACTATAGAATTATTACTACTACTGTTTCATTCTGTGCTTAAGTGATTTCATCTATCTTAAAAATGCTTTCAGATTCATCATACGCTTTCTATCCTGAGAAGTTATCTGAATTCTTTTAAATTTGAAGTAGTTATCACGCAGCCAGTGTAAATATTTTTTTGGTTCCAATTAATTCCGGCTTCCTATTTATCATTCCTTAGTCTGTCCTAAAGTAACGTTATATAGTATATAATAGAGATTGACATTTTAATTATTACTATTGTTAGTGATTTGATATCTAAAATATGAAATAGAGTTATTAGCAGTGGAGTAGGATCCACGTGGTATACAGAGTTCAAGTTTTTCTGCTGAAACTGTGATTCCGGTATTGATCAAATTCCTAAAGGGATCTGACTGTATAAAGTTTCCTAAATACCAATAACACATGGATAACTTATGAACTAAAATTAAATATTTTGATGAATTCAAAAACCAACAAGTATATTCAAGAAGAATTTCTGGGTGAATCAACATTTAACATGTGAAATTGCTCACTTCAATAATTTGATCTCCAGCTTTGAGACCAGCTTTCTCTGCATTACCATCTAAATTAAATGATAGAAAATGAAGAAACAAAATAAATGGACTTGTGGATTTGAACAGAAACATGTCTATGAATTAGAATTCGATTAAAAGCAAAATGATTACTGCATAAATCTTGATTACTATTGCCATGTTGTGATTCTAATCGGTTCTTATTAACCTGATAACTCTCTCTCTTTCAGTTACATTCTAGTTGAAATATTAATCTGATATTATTATTAATGGATTTATTCAATGTTATGTTTTTGGTACAATATGGACTTCTCAACACAAGGTATTTCAACAAGTTTCTTTGACAAAAAATAGAAGTGAAAGAAACTGATAATTGCATACATATGTGTATAAGTTAAGTAGATTAACCAACTGGAGCTAAATGATTTTTTTTACTGAAAAATTTGAATTTGTAAAACATTTTTAATACGAAACATTTTTAGGAATATAAGTTATTGACTAGATCAGCTCTAACAACCTGTTCGTCACATAGTATATTTGCTAGATGAGGTATTGTAGAGCTTTTACACTTTTACTTACGTGCATGGATTCTAATGTATTGAAGTATCGTTCGATCGGAAGATATATAAAGAGAAAAGTATGAATGAAGCAGATGGTTAGTATCTGATAAGATAACACCTTTCAGGAATTTATAAGACTTTAGTTGTCTATCTACAATCCTAATAATAATGACCCTAAAATATTCACCAAACGCCATGCTAGCTGCCTTTAACACTCTTAGCAATACAGCAGTCTTTTCTCAAAAGTGCTGGAAAGAATAATGGTGAACAGTAAAGAATAATAGGTAATATGCATGAACCGATAAATTTTAAGAGTAAATGACGACTAATCCCAAAAGAATGCATCCTCTTCATATAGTAAGTGAGACGAAGAAATTCCTTCGATAACAATAAAATATGAGAAGACCAAGAGAGATCAGAGGAAAACCTTTCACTAAGATAAACGCCTTTGATACTGTGTTCATCAAGGAATCTCCAACGGTACGAAATCTATTGGATTCCAACAAGGTGTTTAGGTGCTGTTCATGTCTCAGGCTAAAGTTAACAGGTTGACATCTAGACGGGTTAAGTGTGGGACCATGAACAACAGACCACCATTCAATACGAGACAAGAACTCCTTCATTTCAGGAAGATACAAAGAGGGAGAAATCGGCATACATACAATGAGATCGTCCACATATTTAACAAAAGTGTTTTCTGTGGTAGACGGAAGATCATGTAGAAAAAAGGAAGAAAGAAGAGGATGGAAATGACAGCTCCTTGTGGCACACCTTCATGATAGAGTAGAAACGTTGAACACTCTCTCCCAAATAAATTTCTATTCTCTTCCAGAGAGGTAGGAAAATATCCAATTGGTTACTCACCTGTCAGTGTTGACGCTGATTAACGTGTTAAGTAGCTATCCTGGAATAGAGTCAAAGGGAGAAGTATAATCCGGAAAGTGCATCGAACATACTTTTAACCCTTCTTCTAGCTGAACACTATATTATTATGCAGAACAGTAACAGCATCTAAGGTGATTCTTTTGCATTTGTAAGCAAACTGATACGGATCAATGTGCTCGTTTAGTGCAAGTTGAAGTGGAAGTATCAGTAATTTTTGTATTGTTTTGAGAGAAGTCGAAGTTAGTGCTATGGGTCTAAACTGAACATTCTTAACACCAGATACTTTCCTAAGTATTAGGATTACCTTTATCTTTCTCCACATTTTCAGTACGAGGTTACTTGAGAAGGATCTGTTACAGATGCTTGTGAATGGATAAAACAGAATGTTAGCACACTTTTTAAAAAGGTTTTGGATTTCATCAAATCCAAGAAATTGGGACGAGTTAAGCGACTGGAGACATTTTCGAACATCAGTTTTAGTAAAACTAGGAACACAACTATTCTTCAAACCTGTGGATTTAGGGAGCATGACATCAGGTGACTGACGTACAAAAGACAAACGTTCAGCTGGTTATCACTTCTAATTTACTTCTCACCTTTAAGTTCTTTAAATAGTTTTCACATATTTGGAGAGCTTATAGAGGATAGGTGTTTCTGAGTAAACGTTGAGTTCAGACGTCTAATATCTAGGTTTATTAGAACATTTAACTTTCGAGCTCCAATGAAGTTTTTCTCCTTGTATATTCTTTCTTTCACCCTCCGAAATCGTTTTATTTGTGGAGATGTAAGTTGACCAAAACTTATAAAAATCGTTTCAGGGAGACAATAAATATCAAAACAGAATTTATGATAACAAATGATAATATCAACGGTGTTTTCCAGTGAGCCATCCGTAAATAATCCCGTTAGTCGTACGAAACATGTTTTTCAGATGTTGGATAATTTCTTCTGAGTAATTTGCTTACTTAAATTTCTTTGTCTGATGTAAGAGTGTACTCTATCCAAGTATGATATATACTTTAGGTAGGACACGAATTATACAATGATCAGAACTAGACAGTGGAACACGTTTATGAGTCACATATGTACCCACATCATTAACGAAAACTAAGTTTAAATAGGCATCCAAACAAGTAAGTAAATCTGGTGGCCAAGTGATGAAAGGAAGCTACAGCCACATGAATTAAAATCACCAACTACAATTGAAAGTAAACCATGAAAGCAATAACAACAAATTCAGTGAATTCATAAGCGAAAACTGATAGTGTAGATGATGTGCACTCTAAAGTCACGTATTTGTTAGTAACAAACATAATTGTATTTATTCAAGTGTTTTGTACAGCATCGTAAAGTTAAACAGTCGATAAAGTCGTTTGAAAAGCTAATACATGCAAAAGTAGATCGACATCAGTTCATGTTTGCAAACATGGCTGCACCGCCGCAACACCTTTTCTTATTGCCTGGTCGATCTTGACGATAGATATTAAAACCTTGCAGTGATACTAAACAATCGTCTTGTAAATCACCTAACCAGTATTCTTGAATTGTGATTGTACCTCAATTATGATACATGTTTTGACTTATTAGGAGTTGAAGATAGTCCACCTTTTCTTTCAGTGATCGGCAATTAGAACTTAGCAGTTCAGAAATCGACATCTGATTAATGTTTATTCACTTCTAGGCGTGTTGTCAGCTACCACGATGTTTCTGATTATACTTTTTTGTAACTTGTAAAGCGATAGAACGTAAGCCTTTTATATACACACCTGAGTAAGTTATGCGATCAACAGACATGATATTGTGTTAAAATAAAAAGGACAACTTGTTGAAACATCTAGATGGTAGGAACAGGTAGCCCAGATATTCAAGCAGGCCACCAGAACTGAACAGTAAAAATCTGACATCACTCAACCAAGTGATCTCTTTTATTTCGTTATTATAATTGTGCACTTTATCATATGTATAACCCTCAGTGTGCACATTTTTTTTCAGATTTAGTACGATTATTAATTATACAATACGAGAAACATAAACAGAGAATAACGTACACAGTTGAATTTGAAAATATCAGCATGTATATTAAATAAAAAAGATGATGAGTTGTTTTATTCTGAATTAAATATAAGAGAGACAAAGGTTATCCATTGATGAGAAAAATCAGCACACCATAAATAATGTCATTTAAACTTGTAAAAAAAACATGGAATTGAATGACGATAAAATAACTTTACAGAAGTACACCTTAATTGAAAGTTAATCTAATATAATTTATTTATGTATTTGAACACATAAATATTGGTAAAAAGGGGGGCTGAATACATATGCGTCACACAAGTCACTTGATTTGTGTGTGGGCTATGATACTGCCCAGGTGCCTAGATCAAAGCAGGTGATTTTCTTAGGGGTTACACCCGGAGCCTTCGACCTTAAGGTCTGATCCACAAGACAGTGGAACAACGTCAGGAGATGCAGTCCCATGGTAACCAGTGACCAATAATTGGTGCATACTCCTGTTGTTCCCTCAGTATCCTGGAGTCCATGTGCACCATTGATTTGGGATCAGGGTTTTCCAACTCCTTTAGATGGATCCTCCATATCCACCAACCCGGTTAAAGCTCCAGACATTCGCTTTTCGTCCTCTCAGTTTTTTAAACAACACCCTCTACGCGAGAAGGCAATGATTAGGACATTTTTGGTAGTGGCTGTATACACGTGACCATGTGAGAGCATCTCGAGAGCTAACTCTCCCAACCCTCGGCCGTACCTGGGCATTTATAGTTTTCAAGTGTAATAAAAATAAGGTGTTTAAGTGAAGATCATTTTCAATTTGTAAACAGGCAAATAAAATTATATTTGGATCTGTTATTATTATTATTTTTTGTTGTTGTCACCAATGTATAGATTTTGATAATGGTATTGATTATTAAAGGAAATTACATTCCATTTGACCAATTTTCATTATTACAAACACTTAATTCAATTAAACTTTTATAATTGACTTTTATAGTTTTGATTTTTATCAATTTTCATTCTTAAATTATATGAAACTTTTAATTGTTTCTATTCTTTACGGAATAATTACAAATTGTTGTTTATATAATCTACAACAAACTATGGTTATTGTTGAATTTGATAGAAAATAAGGTGAAACCATAATTTATGGACGAACTTTGAGTGATGCTAAAGTGACCTTGAAAACGTCCACTTAATAATTAGGATTAAATGAGTGTTATAAACCAGTGTGAGAAATTAGAATTATGGTTTACAGTTAATTTTTAGGGTTAGGAACTAGATTTAGGGTTTTCATCATGAACTAACATCAACTATAATGCCAAAACGCTACTTAGCTAAATGTATGGATGAATTTCGCGCTGAAATCCACAACTCGTTATCTTATATTTGATTGGCTCGTTCATAAATTATACACTCGCGGGAAATACTTTATTTTATCGGTGTATTGGTTTGCTTTTTATAGAATTTACCATTTTTATAATTTGAAACTCTTAACCTTATAGCACTACTCATAATTACACGATCCATATATATCTATTATTTTCTTTTGCTTACGGTTTTGCAGTTTAAGGAAATCGTCTCCTAAAATATCT